CGATTTTAGCATCATCCCCGACAATAAGTATTTATACAAATGTAATCTAATAATTTTAATATCACAATTAATTAATACAAATAAAATGATTGAGTGGCATTATATAACGTAAGCAAGTATTTATATGAATTTAATTAATTAATAAAAATTTTTATAGGCACAAGTTAAATGAATTGATTAATGCGAATGAAGCGATTTGAAGGGTATTATGTAACAGTAAATAAGTATATTTTAATTTTACCAATTAATATTTTTATATTCACAGGCTTGAGTGGGATGATAATTCAAAAGGCATTATGTTGGTAATTAGATCTTTATTTGAACTTGATCTATTGATTCAATACTATTGATTAATATGTGATTTAGATTAATTGAATTAATTAATGTGAATAAGCTTGTCTAATGCAGCAGTGTTAACTGATATGAGATTGTGGAGCAAGAGGCCGAACATTGACTTGGTGATCAAGATTCTTGATATTTGCAAGTTGAAGAATATTACACTTGATCTAGTTAAAGTTAAAGCACACAGTAATGTGAGATAAAACGAAAGAGCCGATCAGCTAGCAAAAGCAGAGGCGCAGTTAGACCAAATTTCAGTTTTACCAGTTGAAAACAACTACCGCAAGTTATACACAGTGCATTTAAACAACATACTATTGGAGTTGTCTACGAGAAAGGTGGCTAAAACACTTGTTGGTCTTAAAATTGGTGCAGAGTGGAGGAGTTCACATGCTATACGAACTTTTAAAAGTAAAGAAGACACCAGTCATGATTGGCAAGCATTATAGCACCAAAACAAAAAAGCAACAGGAAAAAGGTGCAAGTCCTATAGCGTAAGTAGAAGTATAGCATTTAGAATCAAGTGTATAAGTGAAAATCTACCAGTTCTTTCGGTTTTGAAGAAACGCAGGCCTGATTTATATCCAGCAGATTTATATATCAGTTGTGAAGCTGAAATGGAGACAACTGACCATCTAGTTGAGTGTACTAGCTTTTCTTTTTTCTGGAACATAATTGAAGACGTAGTGTGCTTGATTGCATGAAAGAGAATAGACAAAATATATAAAAAAAGAGCCCCTATTGAAGTTTTCAGAAATATAGTGGTTGGTAGTACAGTTGAAAGCAAATTGAGCGAAGAAAAGGTTATATTCAAGGTCTCATCCCAAACGAAGTAGTCGATGAGCTCTTAAATCAGCAACTATCTAGAAGAGTTATAAACAAGGCAATATTGAAGTACAAGACAATTGTTGAAAATGGTTTCTTTGATGAGATCTGGCAAAAGAGATGTAGATCTGTAGTTGTATGGGAAAAAGCAAATGGTATAGCTCCTGTGATGAAACGTAGTAGGTGTGAGAAGAATACTACACACGATGGCAAAAGTAGTACTGCGGCTAAAATACGGAGAAGCAAGATTAATAATGAACAGAATAACGAAACTGCTGTAGCAAATATTGAGAGAATGGTAGAGGTAAAGCAGTTGTTTGAAGAGAGTATTATAAAATAGATTGAGAGTGGGTTAACCACATTTTGGTTTAGTTCTTGATAGAGCTAACAACGTCTTCCAACTCACATGTGAGTTGGTGCGACAAGTCGCATCTGGGCGCATAATATATAGCCAGGTGATGTTGGGTTTGCAATTTTAAATTAGTGATTATTAGAATAGCTTTAAACTTTGTTTTTAGTCTAATAGTTGTAATAATTTGTATTTGAGCTTCGACAAGACTGTCAAAGAATTAAAAAAAAAAAAAAATTAATGTGAATAAAGTGACTTGAGACATTGTGTAACAATAAATAAGTAATTTGTAACCATTTCAATTTCACCAATTAATAATCTTTATACTTACAGGCTTGGATGAGATGATGAATCAAATAAACCAATTTGAAAGGCATTATTTAATGATAATTAAGTCTTTATATGAATTTAATCCATTGATTTTAATATTATTGATTAATAAAAGATTTTTATAGTCACAGGTTAAATAAATTGATTAATATGAATAGAACTTGAGGGCGTTATATAACAGTATATAAGTATTACAGCTATTTTTATAAATTTGTAATGCTTTGAAAAATTGGTAATAACCAAAATCAATATTTTTTGATGTCGGCCAACATTGATAAATTATTGATTTAGACCTGGTAACTTATTGATTTGGTCATTTGAAAATTTTAGCTGCCCCAGAATTTATGAAAACAGCTGTAATTTGTGAATATTTTAACTTTGCAATTAATAATTTTTATCTTCACAGGCTTTGGTAAATTGATTTAAAGGACTGTAAGTATTTAATCTGCAAATTATTAAGGCTGATTTTAACGCTTACCAAAAGTGTGAAGTGAAATTTCTGGATATACTTGCTTTTTAATTTTGGTTTAGTGATTAGTATTTGGAGTATTTGTGTCCCTACTCTTTCACTTTAGCCTAAGGTTAATTAGTAATTTTAACTTTAAATATTGTATAAAGTAATAAAGTATATATATTGTGAATTTTGCTTAAAATTTTTTATAAATCTTTTATTATAGTTCTGTTTTTTTGTCTACAAATCTTTAATCTTTAATTTTTTACATTTAATAAATGGATTCTAAACTAATAAATAATTTGTATGGGATTTAAGCTACTATAAATTACTGTATACAAAACCTTTTGATAAAAACCTACCACATAGTATACCCAGAAGTGAATTACAGAACAGACATTTCATTTTGTAGACAATCTTTAGCTATTAAAAATTGACTATAAAATAAACTATTGATAAAATAAACTGTCTGTAAATTAACTGTTCTTAAAATAAACTTGTCTGTAAACTGATTGTCTAAAACAAGGTGTTTGTAAAGTAAACTTCTACAAAATTAATACATACCCATATTAATCAAACTTAGTTTTTTTTTTTTTTAGGATCTGCATAACTCTTTCCTGTACACATTTGGCAGAAATAGAGTTTTTAACAAAACACAAAATAATTACTCCAGGCAAGGAAGAAAACTTTTTCAAGTCAAGCTCAGCAAGAGCCAAGGCCCTCATACCAAAAAAGAGAAGACTCTTTTAACTAACACTTTCAAGAACAACTCACAAAAAACTCAAAATGACAGATCTGGTCAAGGTTACTAGTAAAGAAGAGAATGACAAAAACAACCTTCTCTTATCGGAAGTCAAGACTACAAACAACAACAGCAATACTTTTAAACTCTTGGAGGTTCCCGTCAATGCTCCACAAACAGACAAGAAAGAAAGTTGGGCTAACCTGGTTCAACAGGAAACTCCTCGGGACCTTTTAATCATATCTTTACAAGTAAAAAAGAGGATAAACAAAACAACAAAACAAGACATGTGAATGAAAAAGATCTGGTGGTCCCAGGCCCTTCATGTGACCAACACGCAAATACAGAAGCACAAATATCAGAGGATAACCCGTATAGGCAAGCAGAGACTATCAACTCTACTTATTCATACAATGACAAGAAACCTCAACCTTCCTCTCCAAAGCAATGGGCAAACCTTTTTCCTAAACTTACAAGAGAACAGACTATATACTCTACTTTCTTCCCAAGAGATCAAATCAAGTCTAAGAATAATAATGCACTTATTATTGACATATCTCAACTTCTGAGCTCATTTAATGAAATCATCTCTTCTCTCTATAAGAGTGCAGGAAATGATATTGTAACAATTAAACAACATCTCAAAAGAGGATCACACTCACAACTAGAAATTGTTTTTGCAAGCTTTGGCTTGCTTAGAGAATATACTACAAAGGGAGTAAAAATCTTTAACAAGACTTATATGGGTTACATCCCAACAGATGCCTGCAAATCCTTTTTGTTAGTCAAGATTAGAAATATTCTATTAGGTAATAGAGATCAGGTTTCAACTCTTATCAAGAAGGCCTTTGAAGATATAGGCAAAATCAACTCCATCAAACCTCTTCTGATTGAAGGAACCTCATATTTAATGGATCAGTGGATCATTAATTTTGAAACCACAGATGATCCAGACTTAGAAAAGAATCTACCACACTTTACCTATGTAGGGGACAATAAGGTTATCACAGAATGGAAAGCAGCCCCCAGCATATGTTTTTTCTGTGATCAAGAAGGCCATATTAAGAAGGATTGCAAACAGTTTCAAGAATCTTTTGCTTTTTGAGACCACTATCGTAAATTTAAAAAACAAGTCAAAATTACAAAAAACCTTCAAAATGGTAATGCTGGCTCTCCCAATATGGAAACCCCAGCTACGAAAACAGCTATAGAGGAACCTACAAGGAGAGAAATTCTCTCAGAATTATCAGATAGTCCCCTGAATGAAAGAGAAGAGAAGATCACTATTGCTTCGTTAGAAAGTGTAATTAAAAACTTGGTTGAATTATCAGTGACATCCTCTTCCACAGAGGAAAAAGATTCTTCTAAAGAACAAGACAAGGTGACAGACAAGGACTCTGACTTTTCAGATTTTGTCTACATACAATCTCCTGAACTAAACTCCCTAGAGTCCCAGGATTTGGTTGTCCCAAGAAATAAGTTTACATTAAATAATCCTGTTCAAGCCTATAAGGATCAAGAAAAATTGGATATTCTATAGAATAGGTGGGCAATATAAAAAATAAACTTTGCTACTAATTAGTAATCATTAATAAATATTTAGCGGAGTTGCGGAGTTTGCGGAGTCTGCTCACCTATTTTATAGAATATTTGAAAAATCCTCCAAGTCTCTCGACAACAAGTCAATGGAAGCTGATAAAGAAGGCTTTATTTCGGTAATGAATAAGAAGAAACAAAAAAAGATCGTTAACAACAAAACCAGACAAGTTCATATAAAAACTTTTCCATACAAAAGAGCTAAAGGAGGACATCCATCCCCACTTAATTAAAATAGTTTTTTTTATGACAGTAAACAAAAAGGTTTACATAGCAACCCTTAATATAAAGGGGTTAAACAATCAAGAAAAACAACAGAAAACTTTAACTTTACTAAAATAGACATAATTCTTTTACAAAAAACAAATATGGAGAACCAAAATACAAGAGACTTCCTTAAAAGACAATGGCCATCTATATTAGCTAGCAAGAAAGATATAAAGCTTTCAAACCCTCAGATATCTCATGGAGGGAAAGTCATATCAACAAAAATTGCTATAAGAATCACCTCTTCCAAGTCACCAATGTTTATGCTCCTCCAAATAGTAAAGACAGAAGTGAATTCTTTGAAAGATGGACACCACTTTATGATGAAGAATCAATAAACATATTGGGTGGAGACTTTAACACCAATACAAATCGAGTTAGTCAAGCATCAGCACAATCGGATGCAACATGCATACAGCTTAAAAGACTTACTAACAATTTTGTTAACTTAGCATTTTTTGAAGGGAACAACCCTTTTCTAACTTTCTTCCAAAACACATGGAACAACAAAACTATGGCAACTAGATTAGATTCTATCTTTATTGATAAAAATTATGTCTTACTTGTGGAAAAAACAGAAACTTTATTTGGCAACTCAGATTACCTGTTAGTCAAATGTATCTTAAATCTTAATGACAAACTGAAGAATCCAACATTTTGGAGAACTGTTTCAAAAATAAACTCATAGAGAAAGAGGTCATAGCAGAAATTCAATCCTTTAACTCAGTAGAAGATTGAAACTGGCACAAAATATATATTCAATTAATCATAAAAGCTTGCAGAAAACCCAAAGCCCTGGAAAGAAATTTGGCTCTTCTAAACAGGAAAATAACCAAATTAAAAGAAAAACTAGCGAAGGATTCAAGTCAAATGCAGCTACATATAATGGTTAATAATTTAAATCTCCAAATTTAGGATGAATTGCTACAACTAGCAGACAGATGGCAAACATACTCCAAGACTAGTTGGGTGGAGCAGGGAGAAAAGTCGACAAGATATTTCTTCTCAAGATATAAGTTCCAAACTAGTTGCTTAGCACTCAAGGATATCAGAGACCATGAAGTTCCACCTAAGTTTGGTAATGATCAAATCTTGCAGTATATCAAAGAACAATATACAAAGCTTTACAAGGAGGAAACTATTGATTTAGACGTAGCAACAACTTTGACAAATGACCTTTCTACTATCCCAACCTTAGAAAATATAGAACTTTCACAAAAAATTTCACAAGAAATAGTTGAGACAATCAAAAAACTTTCAAACAACAAATCTCCTAGGCTGGATAGCTTTATATACAAGTTCTACAAACAAACTGAAAACGACATTGTTCCTGTTTTGGAAACAGTCTATAACCACATTTTTAACTCAGACCTCTTGTCCAAATCGTGGCATAAAAACTTAATTACTCTCATACCAAAGAAATCAACAGATCTAAAGGACATCGACAACTGAAGACCGATCTCTCTGGTAAACTGTGATGCCAAGATCTTCATAAAGATTATAGCCACTAGATTAAATAAGATTTGTGGCCTGATAATCCTAGCTCACCAACAGGGTTTCATTTCGGGAAGGTCAATAACAGATACAGTGCTAGATGCACTTACAATAATGAGAAATCAGACTGACCTCACCAAGCAACATTGGCTTTTACTAGTGGACCAACAAAAAGCTTTTGACCATATTGATCATACTTTCCTACAATTAGTCCTTGAGAAAATGAATTTTAATCTAAAATTCAGAAATTTGGTTGAGAACCTCTTTACTAATCAAGAGGCTTATATATTTGAATTAGGCTCCTTATCAGAGCCTTTCAGAGTAGAAAGAGGAGTAAGACAGAGTAACTCTCTCTCACCATTATTATATATTTTGGCCTTGCTTCAAGCAATTGATAAAGACATACAAGGTATATCCTCATACAATCAAACATTTAAATCTATAGCCTATACAGATAATTTAACAATAGAAATAGGAAGTCTATCAGATTGGCTCAAAACACGAAAGCTGTTTGTTATATGAAAAAGTCTCAAGTGCAAAGATTAATAATCAAAAGACAAAAATTGTACAACTTACTATAATGGCAAGAAGAGCTAATCTCCTAGACATAATTGATTTCAAGATCATAGAAGAGATAGACACCTTCAAGCTACTCGGATACGAAATCTATACAAATGGACAACCAAAAAAGACTTATAGTCCTCTACAATTACCAAACTTAAGGATATGCTTTCCAAACTAGCAGCAAGAAATCTCTCCTTCAAGGGTAAAATTTTAATTGCAAAGTCTCTAATACTCTCCCGCATTTGGTATACAGCTTACATTCTTTCTCCAAGAAAAAAACAAATATCAGAGATAAACAACCTGATGTCCCTTTGGATCAAGGGCAATTCCAAAATGCTTCCAAGATATGCGACTTATCAGCTCTCTTATGAAAAAGGTGGCCTTCAAGCCCCAATAGTTGGGAATATGCTAGAGGCTAGGATGATCACAACATGGCTAAAGCTGATAACAGGAAACACTATATGGGCAAAGATAGAAAGATCAAGGATCACACAATTCTTAAGCGATAAAAGAAATACTACAGTATTACAAGTCTTCACCGAAAACCCAGTAAAATCCAAAGCTTGGCCTTCAGAATGGAAGTTATTTGTGCTAGCTTGAAATAAAGTAAAAGGCTTAGTCTCCTCCTTTTCACCATGGCCTTGGTTCAGGAAGAATATATATATAAAAGGGAAAAGAAGTAGTGATCTTTGGACTAAAGACCTAGTGAACCTTTTGAGGGATTCATCTAGTACAATCTCTCCAACCTATTTACTCAAGGAAAATACTTCAATGGATTGGATTACCTGTAGAGGTATCGATAACAAAAAAAGGGATATTACATGGAGACTTGCCTATAGGGCCTTGCCACTAGAATACAGACTGCAACGAATATCTCAGTCAGAGTCGGGAGCCTGCCCTTGGTGTGAGGATAGCATCCAGACCCCAGAATATTTTGTGGTAGAATATAGAATAAGTAAGTCAATCTGGACAGAAGTCTACAAGTTTTTGAAAACACAAGACAACTTTACGTAGTATTTCAAATCATTAGTTGGAAAACCAAATAGTTGCCAACTTTCCAACTAACTGGTTAGAAAATTTTTTAATCAATTAACCAACTAATCATTCAATTAATATAATTCCAAGATATTCTGCTTATTCAGAATAATTCAGAATGATTTCTTGAATTTGATTGGCTAATATTTAGAAATATCACGTAATATACATAACCAGTTAGTTGCCAACTATAGTTGGCAACTAACCAGTTGGTAAAATTTTAACAATTTAAAACACTAACTCTACGATCCTGAATTCTATAGAAGCTATAGAAGACATATATACAAAAAGAAACATCTCTCAAAAAAGGTTCTACACAACAGTCCAATAGCCAAATATAATGGCAGTTTATAAAATTTGGTGCTAGTATACCAACGCCAAATGGAGGAACAATGTTAGATTAGAAATTTCTATATCAGCAATCATTAGTAGTAGGGTCACAAGAGAAATCAAGGCTTTGAACTTTAATTTCTCTATTAGTTCTAATATGTAAATAGAAAATTATTTATTAAAATAATACAATAAAAAAACGCCACTAGTATTCTGGCCACTTTTGTTAGGCTGGAAAATAAA